TCGAATATATTTTCGACAACCGGGACAACACACGCCAAGCAGACAGAGAGAAAGAGCGATCTCGTTCCAGAATTCGATGGAATTCTACGTGGATTCTCTGTGGATGCGTCCGGTAATTCCGGAAATAAATAGCCGTACACGCGGACAGGGTCGACCAACAGCTATCGATAAAGTGCCGCGATCTGGTCGATTGATATTACATACACTCGATTAAAAAAAAAACTTGATGCCTCATATAGATTTGAGTGTGCCGTTTACGAGAATCGTTCACGCCAAAGACCACGGCTGTTTATTCCGGCATTATCTGTACGGCGCGTGTTCAATTAAGAGGCACGAGCCGTGTGACATTTATTATCGATGCCTATATATACGTCTGGAATGGCCGCTGTTGGGGATGCCGCTGACATGCATATTCAATGCTCGGGATTGGTTCGAGAGCGTAGAGAGATCGCACGCGTGTCTCTCTGTCACATCGCGTCGGAGCTAATCACCGTCAATGTTAGCTGATAATGATTCCATCGAATTGAGAGAGCCCGTCCTCTCGTTCAATCTAATTCATCCTTAATCCTTGGAAAGCCGAGACTGTCCGCTTTTGCGCGACTTGTAACACTGACATCGCATTGTGAGACGTTCATTTATACTTGCATTCGATACATCAAAGGATTTATCGCTCCCTCATCTGTTTCCACTCATCTCTCACGTGGTGTGGAATCGCTCGCGAAAAATATTTTTGCATCTCGACACGATAATATAAATCTTGTCGTGATTTGACAGCTCGTATACGTACACGTGATATCGTTGCCGGCAATATATTCCCGATGATGCGTTAAACGCTCGAACTTCGCGTGAAATACTTCGCACCAAGGCAAGAAGCACCAAGGAACGATATTACCGGTTTGGCTAATGGTCCGCGTACAACTAATTAGAAAGTTCCAATATTCGCGTACTCGCTTTAATCGCGCATACGTGAGAACAAAGATACGCTTTAAATGTAAATTGACACTGACCGCGGAATACAATAAAACGTCGCCAAAGTTTAGACCGCAAGTTAAAGGTACCAATTCCAGAACAAGTACCTAATTTTGAACATTGTTATTATTTCGGTCTTTAAATACGAATATTTAAACTTCCCACATAGTATATACCTACATATATTGAAAGTGTAGATATTCGTATTTAAAGAGCGAAATAATAAGCATGTTCAAATTTAATCATAGATATTTTATTATTTTGGTTTTTAAACATGAATATTTAAGCATTTTGTATAGGATATATGTATACATTCAACATATGTATGCCTATTTTATGTTAAAAATTTTAATATTAGTATTTAAAGAGCAATAAGAATTTTTCCTAGGCATTCTTGTTGTTTTGGTCTTTAAATACGAATATTTCAGCATAGCAGGTGAATATTTCAACTATAGGATATATGTATTGTCTCTATGCTAAAAGCTGAAATATTCGTATTCAAAAAGCAAAACACAATAAAAATGTCCAGGATTATATATATACGTTCACAGACACTGGTACTTTTATCTTACATTCAGCGCGACTGCCGGGGCCGTTTACAAAGTGCATTGTGCAGTGTATAAACCACGGGACGACGGGAAAATCGACTTCCGTGCGCAGCTTCCGCTTAAAAAGAACGATTATATCTCTATTACGACGATGCCTTCGAAAACGACCGACTTATCGCGTGTGCATTTAATCGGAACGAATGGCGCATTGTGGACAAACCCCGCAGACGGAGGCGATGTCACCGTGAATGGTAAAAGCCTCGTCGAGATCGTTTCACGGTCTGGCGAACATCGATCAATGAGCGAGCCGGTTTGCAAGAGCGACCCGCCGCCGCGCTGAGAAACCGCGATGCTGTCTACTGTCAGTTCGCGGGCTTAACCCGTTCGCGAATGTTACGATTGAGGATCTCCCCGGCTAAACTAATGAAGGCAGCGGTGAAAATGGTCGTCGGACGCCAAAATAGACACGGGGGAGCTGTGAGGACGAGGGGGAAGGACGTGTCTCGCGCGGGGCTAATAATGAAAGATGAAGAGATAGGAGTAGCGCGATGTACAACGTGCAAAAATGTATTGCTTTCTATCAGCGACCTGCTTTCGATACTGACGCGATGGGCGCGAACGCGGCGAGCTCGATGTATTCCCCTATTCAAAAGGAAAATAATCACGTTCACAGGGGACCAACGAATTCATTCATCATTCACGGATAACGTGCGCGGACTGAGCGACGCGACGCTTTATGAGGCCGCGGTGAATTGAATCGGAGAGAAACCGATTTGGATGACGAGATTTCATAAAAAGCCTGCGCGAAATTGCCGCGGTAATTTAAAGAATTCCAGATAACCGCGAACTTTTGCATTTCCATTAGCAGCCGTTGGGGAAGCACGCGATGTCATTTTCCATGCAAATGATTTAAATACGTAGGATAGAGAGTGTCGGGGCGAAACGCGCCCTCGAATAACGATTCGGAATGCGCGCTCGTGCGTGTGTTAACGTACGTGAAATATATAAAACACACGCCAGCACAGATGCGCGATCGTTGCGCGTTATTCGCGGGTAGAATACGCCCGAACGCACGCGCGCTTAAAATAAAATTTAATGATTTCGCGATTTCACTCGCGTTTTCACTGGTTTATCGTCTATTACCTTGCAACCGCCGATAATTCGGCAAAGCTGCACGATCAGAGCAGCGATTGTTCGGGCGAACCGGCGAACGGTATGTTACCGTCGACGCCTATGCATAGCGCGATAATTTTTCGCGTCGGGGGGCACGCGACACGTTCGCAGCTGCGAGCCACCGCAGGTTTCATTCATAAGTTACAATCATTTCACGTAGGCAGGCGAAATGGTCAATGACGCATTTCCCGTTTCTTCAATGGGCTATTAATAACGCTTCGTGATTCAGGAGTCATTCACCGTGCCGATTGTTACGTAACTCAATTACGTGTATATGCATCTGTACGCGACATCGGGCTGTTACAATGCAAAGAAATACAGACAGACGAAATGTTCGAACGAAAACGCCCGTGTGCGTCGTCTATCAAACTCTATTTTCACTATTATCCTCTAGCCGCGTCGCTATGAATTAAATTATACATAGAAAAAACGTTTGATTGAATTAATTAAATTTCTGGTAAAATATGAAGGAACTAATATAAGAAAATATATAAGGAACTATATAAGAAAACACATATTTGCGCTTGCAGTTGATAGAATTTTGCCCAAGTTAACCAAAAGTCTTGTTAACTTGAACTATTAACTTTGACTGAAATTTTTAGTTTGTTTATATATTTCACCAGAGATTTGGATAATCTAACCACTTTTCCATATATGGTATCGATTAAACGGATGCAAAATTCGGATTTCAAAGATCCAATCCAGATATAAGACTTGAAAAATTAAAATAGTTTTTCATTTGCTTTCATAGAAAAGAAGAACATTCTTATTTTGAAATATCTTTATTTCTAACATGTCAAATTCATATAAGAAAATGAGTCACATATAATCAAAATATTTTATACGTGTGTAACTCAACAAAAAATATATATATTCATATTAAAAAATAATTTTCATGAATAAAAAGCAAAATATTAGACTCAGAATATGGTGTTTTTAAATGTCGGAAGAAATTAACATTACTATGAAAATAATCACATATTATACTTATTATGAGACCATTATAACATTCAAATAAAATGATAACATTGTTAAAACCTGGGGTTCTAAAATTCTTTTAATAAAATTATATATCGCTGTTTATATATAAAACAATGATTATTAATTTAAAAATGTTAGTTTTAAATAAATATTAATTTTTTTTCTGTATTATTATTGCGTTATGTGTGCCAGATCTCATTGGTCCTTTTATGTACAATTGTCAATAATTCGCGGTGTTAATTATTAAAGACAGCTGTTCTATTCTCTCCTCCGCGGAAACAAGGTGCGACGAGGCGAAATTTCATCGAAACATCATCATTCATTTTATCTGAGAAAGGCATGCACATCGTCGGCGTCTGCGTGAGTTCAGAACATCACACGCATGTAATGTAAGCGTAATACACTACATCATAAATTACGCCCTCGAGAACTATCTCGACTATTGATGATTATGATCGCCACATCGTATAATGCAAGCCAGGCCAT